GACCTTAGTGCACTACTATGCCAAACTGGTGTAACAAACACTTATATAACATTCAACCCCCCAAAAGAGGATATAAGCACTTTTCAAGTATTCATAAAACATTTACTGAGATAGGTGTAATTCTGGGCAACAGAAAAAAATATTCAGAAGTATTTGAGACACCAAGTATGATCACTGACAACAATGAATTACATAAGAAATAGTAAGTAGGGGCTGGAGAGATGGCTCAGCAGTTGAGAGCACTGGCTGCTCTTGCAGAGGGTCCAGGTTTGTTTCCCAGCATCTACATGGTGGCTAACAACCATCTGTAACTCCAGTTCCAGGGGATCCAATGTCCTCTTCTGGCCTCTGCAGACACTGCACTGCACATGGTGCACTTACAAACATGCAGGCAAAACACTTATACACATAAAATATTAAAAAATATGCTTTTAAATTTAAAAGGATAATTAACTGGAAGATATTTTGAAAACTCCCCATATATTTGGAATAACCTATAACCAAAGAATTTGAAATGAAAATTAAAAAGCATACAGAACATAAAAGCAATACTTGGGATAAATTTATCATACTGAGCATGGATATAGCAAGTAATTCAAAACCTATTTAAATAGGCACATACAGCTGGGTGTGGTGGTGTACTGGCTTTAATTCCAGTGTTTGGGAGGTAGAGGTAGGAGGAGCTCTCGAGTTTAATGTCAGCCTGGTCTCCATAGCAAGTTCCAAGTCAGTCAGTGCTACACGAAAAGGTCTCCCCCATCCCTACCCCCAGTCCCCTGAAATAGCCACTATCTCAAGTTTCTTTTATATCCTTTTAAAGATACTCATTGCTCATACCAGCATAAGCACACACATAGAGATAGAATCTTATGTATCTACTCCAGGCTGGCTTCAAACATACTATGTAGCCAAGGATCTTGAACTTTTGATCCTCTGTCTCTACTTTCCAAGTGCTGTAATTACAAGCATGCACCACCACACCTAGTTTTATGTGGTGCTGGGGGTTGAACCCAGGTCTTTGTGCATGGTAGGCAAGCATTTATCTGAGCCACATCCCGATCCTTAAACATGTGTATTGTTAAGCACATAAACATACACACATGGAGCATATTATGCATCTCATCCTGTATCTTGGTTTTATTTTTATCATACATCATTTTCTATTACAGATCTTTTCATAGTAATTAGCTGTATAAACGTAGAAAAAGTCATTTCAGTTCCTTAGTGGCAACTGGGTTGTGTTCCATCTTGAGCATTATGAATGACTCTGTGAATACATATGAAATTATAATTTGAGGGGGGGGGGTACTATGGGAGATGAGAATAGGGGAGGGGCCTAAACATGATCAAGATATAATGTATGAAATTTGCAAAAATTCAATAAAAATTATAATCTAATTCCAAAAAAAATTACTGCACCAAACATCTATATTACAAAAGAGGGTCTTCAATGCTTGACTTCAGTTACTACTCAGAAAAAGGAAATAGTAAAGCTATCAGAATAGAAAAAAAAATACAGAAAATCTACAACTGTATCAGACAATTCATTCCTCTTCACACACACACACAAATTGCTCAGTGCAGAATTCCAGCTCAGAGTTCTCTGAATCCCTTTGAAATGACTTCATTGTCCCCCTTGCTTTGGTTCAAACCTCAGTTCATCCTGAGTCCTCTTTCTCTTCACCTGCTACACGTCATCACCTGCACATCTACTACCCTGCTACACTGGCTCAAACATCCTCCATGGATATCTTTCTGACTCCACACATAGTGAGTGCCCTTTGAATAGGTGTAGCCTGAAGGTGACAATACTCTTCTGATTAAAAAAAAAAAAAAAAACCCAAAAAGCAAAAAAAAAACCTTCCCACACTCTATAATGGCTTCTCATTTCACTCAGAATAAAAGCCAAATTCTTTATAATATCCTAATGAGAATGATAAATTCTGGTCACCAATATCTTAAATAAAACTGAAGTTTAAATAACAAAGACATGGATGAGTCTTTGGATGACCATCACACAAGTGGTCAAAACTGTAACATTCTTTTTTAAAAAAAAATTCATTTACTTATTGTGTATGAGTGTATTGCCTGCATGTATGTAAGTACATCTATGTCATGCAATGCCTGTGGAGGTCAGAAGAGGGCGTTAGAGTCCCTGGAACTGGAGTTATGGCTGGTTGTTATCCACCATGTGGGTGCTGGGAATCAAATCTGGGTCCTCTGCAAGAGCAGCCAGTGCTCTTAACCACTGAGCCATCTCTCCAGCTCCCAAACTGACTTTTCAATGCTGTTCCTCACATGGGCCAAAAACGTCCTTACTTCAAGTCCTCTGAATTCCTCTTCCCTCTGTTCAAAGGGCAGTTTCTCCACAATGCCATTAGGTTGGCTCCTTCCTGTTCTCAATATTTTGGCTCCATTGTTCCTTCCTCAATGAGATCTTCATAAACATCCTTTTAAAAAGTGTAACTTCTATGGCATGGTGGCGCACACCTTTAATCCCAGCACTCTGGAGGCAGAGGCAGGCAGATCTCTGAGAGTTCGAGTCTAGCCTGGCCTACATAGTGAGTTCCAGGTCAGCTGGAGCTACTGGGAGACCATGTCTCAAAAAGAACCCCCCCAAAAAGTGTAACTTCCATTTCCCACTCACCCAGCAGCTGTCCCTACACCCCTTTCATAGTCTCCCTCAACTCCTACAGAACTTATCGGCCTCTAATCTGCCTACTTCTTCTGTGTGCAGTCAGCTCCCTTAAACCCCAATGAAGTATAAGCTCCAAGAGAAAGTGACTATAAAACAATATTATTAGTATATCCCCATACCACTGGAATGACACCCGCATAAAAGAAAACATCTAATAAATGTGAAGTGAATGGACTTGGGCTTTCTGATCTGCCATATTTTTGGCCACTTGAATGATCCCAGGTTTCTGAGGTTTCTCTTGATTGCTGTTTGAGTTTATTGCTGTTTTGAATATTGGGATATTTTATAGAGTTCATGCTTTTCCATATAATTTCTCAGATTAGAAAATAAGACTTACGGAACATAAATTACATTCCTTAGTTCTAGTCTCAATCCACATTAAAATTTTCTTTCTATTAAGGTGGGATTTTACTATCATTATTTTGTTGTTGTTGATGGTGATAGTTCTTTTGAGATAGGGTCTCCCTGTGGCACCACCTGGTCCGGAACTTGCTATGTGGACCAGGCTGATCTCAATCTAACAGACACCCACCTGTATCAGACTCTCCATTGCTAAGATTAAAAGTGTGCACCACCATGCCTAGAACTTTAATTAGAGCTTTCCACTCCAGTGTACAGCAATTTTTAAATTGGCTATGACCTGTGCATCCGGATCAATAGTGACTGCATAATTCTATCAGAGTCCTTAAGGGACAAGAAAACAAACAAACAACAACAACAAAAAAACCCAACCCAAATTGTCCTAGCCTATTTAAGATTATAATGAGCTGGCATACTAGAGGGGGAAAAAGGCTCGTTTGCTATTAATAAATCAGAGTCTGTAAAAGTATGGGTTACTTCCTAAGTTCTCTCCTCTTCCCTTTCCTCCTTCCTACCCTTCTTGAACTCTCACATCATGTTCAAACAATCTTCCTGTCTCAGGCTCCTAAGTAGCTGGACTACACATATACTCCACTGCATGTGGAGTTTAGTTTTATTTTTGATTTAAACACTTAAAAATTTCATAAGATTTTATTAAAATCTTAATCTCTTTGTATTCTTTGTTTTGAGATGGCTAATGATAAATTATAGGAAGTCTTTGAATACAAAATATACTTGAAATTTTTAATAAAACTTATACTGGTTGAAAATCATATAAAAATTCTTAACTATTTTATATGATATATATCTAAAAATTTACATTTATTAATTTTGTATATGTGTCTGTGTTGGCATACACCACAGTGTACATGCAGTGGTCACGAACTACTTGTAGGAGTCTGTTCTTTCCTTTCAACATGTGAGTCCCAAGGATTAAATTCAGGTTTTCAGACATGGCTGTAAAGGACTTTATCCACTGAGCAATCTCACCTAATTTTTAAAGATTAAAGAAAAAACAAAAACAAATATTGAATGGTTTGACTTTTTATATATTCTTTTAGTTTTTCAAACATAAATGTTGTAATATATGCTGTAAACCTTTTAATTTTAATTTTTAAACTTTTAAAAGTTCGTATTTGATTAACTGTAGGTATTAGCACCCAATCCGATAATGTTAGTGTATTTGAGTACCAACTCTACTTAAGACTAGAATTTCTCTGTTAACATGATACAAATCAACAGAATGCCAATGTTCAATTTTTTATTATTAAAGTCTAGATAAATACAGTGACTAAAGAAACTAAATCTCAAAAGATAAATTAAATACATATCAATCATTTTTACTGAGTTTCTTACCTCATCAAATAGAACCACTTTTATTATTCCTTCCTTTTTTCTACCCTTTATAATACAGTACAACTATATCGCTGCTCAGTTATTACACTCTAATTTTTAAACCCAAAATTTAAATACACACTTAATGGAAAACAAGTATTAATCACGTAATATTGATCTCAGAAGACATAAGACATTGAAGAGTTTGAATTAAAGAAGCAATATAGCATAGAGAAAAGGCAGAGTTAATTTCTTATATACCTCCCAAGAGACTGATTTATGCATTCAGAAGCCACTTGGAAAGAAGCCCTGGGCTGCAGCAAAGATGCCCAGGCTCTTCTCAGTTCCATTCTCTAACACCAAGTTATGTATACAGCATCAGTACAGAGAGAAACGGAAACATCAGTAGCTGAGTCCATCACCTTTTCCAAGATTACTCCTAGGAAGAGGCATAGTAACTAAAGCAAGCACAGCAAAAAGTTTTAAACATGTAATACTTAAGCATCACAAGACATCCAATGATTATAAATTTCTAGCATATCTATATTGGAATTTTTATGTGTCTGAAGATGTTAATTTGTACCAAAGTAAATAATGACAAGGATATCATATCCAAATCTCAGCTTATCTTCAAGTTTCAAAGTGATGTAAGTCTGCTCTGGAATCCTTACATCATTCACAAAAGTCTACAAGGAAAAAAAAGAAAAAGGTTATGTTACATATGAAGTATTAATTCTCACATTCCAGACAATCAAATTCATAAACCTACTACTTAAAAGTACTTATCATATGTCTAGGTAAGGTTTATCTGAGAACAACTGGTCTTTGCCCAAGATTTATCTATATGACACACAGTAATTAAAAGTACCAGACTGTTAGAACTAATCTTCTTGGATGTCTAACAGACATACTTTGAGGCCTATAATAATTTGGTCAGAGGGACATAAAGTAGTTTTTGCTCCTTGCCCTCCTAGGTCGACTAGTTCCAGAGGACTATGAGCATCTCTCAAACTGTCCTGTAATTGTGGTGGGTCACCTGTCCTCTTGATCAAAGATGCCGAGGAGACCCCACCAGATGGACTTGAGCCAGTGTCCAGTCTACAAAGAGGAGGGTAAACACAGAGGAATCATTTCCTCCATGCTTCCAAGTGAAGCCAGCCATGGTCGAGCAGAACCTTTGACTTATCTTCACATAGGCGGAACTGGTAAAAGAAAGGAGCCAGGGGCTCCTCCCAAGCCCATGTGACCCCTAAGGAACAGATCCTCAAACAACCTTAAGAGTAAAACTAAAATGGTTGGGCCAGGCGTGGTGGCGCATGCCTTTAATCCCAGCACTTGGGAGGCAGAGGCAGGTGGATCTCTGTGAGTTCAAGGCCAGCCTGGTCTACACAGTGAGTTCCAGGACAGCTGGGGCTACAAGGAGACCCTGTCTCAAAAACTCCAAATAAATAAATAAATAAATAAATTAATTGGTTTATCTGGACCAACTATATGGCCTTAAACACCCAAAAGGAAAGTATAACCAAAGATTAAAGGGGCTAACATAATTTTTTAAGATTCCTTATGTATAGCTAAAGGCTACATAACAAGCAACAATGCCAGATAGGAAATACCTTCTTTTGAGTTGTTGGCCAGGATGGCCAAAGGGACTCCCAGATAGTAACCCAGTATAGAACTGGGAAAAAGAACAGCATACCCCAATTTTATCTAAAGGAATATTGACAACTGATTGCTGACCTTCCTAAAACAAAGACCTCTCTCTAGATAGGCTGACTAGATTCACCAGATTGACAAGTAGAGGGGAATGGCTGGGGGTGCCAACAACACAGCAGACAGTAGCAGGGATATCAGAGTATAAGGGCTCTAGTTGGGGGAGGGAGGCTATGGGAGAGTGCCATCTGGGAAGTGGGTGTATAGTTGAATAAGATGGTTTGGGATGTTCTGTGTGATATACACATACACACACACACACAAAATAAACAAATTTTTTAAAAATGTATTATATTTGAGGAGGAAGCATGGAAATTTACATCATGTTAATTAGTAGAGGTGATAAACATTACCATTGCCAGGGATCCGAGTACAACCGATTATGACTAGTAATACATACAGATTAGAGATGCATGTGCCAACATCTCAGTGTTAGTAGCAAAAAAAAAAGAGCCTTTCTGCAAGGAACAATATATTCTAAAATGAAATGGAGATCTTTTTTAAAGGTTAAAAACTCATTCAATTTTACATTTTACAGGGCTTAAACTGAATTCAATACTGTATAAT